TGTGTTACCCTAACTCACGGTAACCTTTTAACCGTTTGATTGGCTGTGTTACCCTAGCTCATGGTAACCTCTAAACGGTTTGATTGGTTGTGTTACCCTAACTCATGTAACCTCTAAACCGTTTTAGTGACTGTGTTACCCTAAATCATGTAACCTCTAAACCGTTTGATTGGCTGTGTTTCCCTAACTCATGGTAACCTCTAAACCGTTTGATTGGCTGTGTCACCCTAACTCATGGTAACCTTTCAACCGTTTGATTGGCTGTGTTTCCCTAACTCATGGTAACCTCTAAACCGTTTGATTGGCTGTTAGACCGCTTTTTTGGCTGTGTTACCCTAACTCATGGTAACCTCTAAACCGTTTGATTGGCTGTTAGACCGCTTTTTTGGCTGTGTTACCCTAACTCATGGTAACCTCTAGACCGCTTTTTTGGCTGTGTTACCCTAACTCATGGTAACCTCTAAACCGTTTGATTGGCTGTTAGACCGCTTTTTTGGCTGTGTTACCCTAACTCATGGTAACCTCTAGACCGCTTTTTTGGCTGTGTTACCCTAACTCATGGTAACCTCTAAACCGCTTGATTGGCTGTGTTACCCTAACTCATGGTAACCTTTCAACCGTTTGATTGGGTGTGTTACCCTAACTCATGTAACCTCTAAACCGTTTTAGTGACTGTGTTACCCTTACTCATGGTAACCTCTAAACCGTTTGATTGGCTGTGTTACCCTAACGCATGGTAACCTCTAAACCGTTTGATTGGCTGTGTCACCCTAACTCATGGTAACATTTAAACCGTTTGATTGGGTGTGTTACCCTAACTCATGTAACCTCTAAACCGTTTGTTTGGCTGTGTTACCCTAACTCATGTAACCTCTAAACCGTTTTAGTGACTGTGTTACCCTTACTCATGGTAACCTCTAAACCGTTTGATTGGCTGTGTCACCCTAACTCATCGTAACCTTTCAACCGTTTGATTGGGTGTGTTACCCTAACTCATGTAACCTCTAAACCGTTTGATTGGCTGTGTTTCCCTAACTCATGTAACCTCTAAACCGTTTTAGTGACTGTGTTACCCTTACTCATGGTAACCTCTAAACCGTTTGATTGGCTGTGTCACCCTAACTCATGGTAACCTTTAAACCGTTTGATTGGGTGTGTTACCCTAACTCATGTAACCTCTAAACCGTTTGATTGGGTGTGTTACCCTAACTCATGTAACCTCTAAACCGTTTTAGTGACTGTGTTACCCTAAATCATGTAACCTCTAAACCGTTTGATTGGCTGTGTTACCCTAACTCATGTAACCTCTAAACCGTTTGATTGGGTGTGTTACCCTAACTCATGTAACCTCTAAACCGTTTGTTTGGCTGTGTTACCTTAACTCATGTAACCTCTAAACCGTTTTAGTGACTGTGTTACCCTAACTCATGGTAACCTTTCAACCGTTTGATTGGTTGTGTTACCCTAACTCATAGTAACCTCTTAACCGTTTGTTTGGCTGTGTTACCCTAACTCATGGTAACCTCTAAACCGTTTGATTGGCTGTGTTACCCTAACTCATGGTAACCTCTAAACCGTTTGTTTGGCTGTGTTACCCTAAATCATGGTAACCCCTAAACCGGTTGATATGCTGTGTTACCCTAACTCATGGTAACTTTTAAACCGTTTGAGTGGCTGTGTTACCCTAACTCATGGTAACTTTTAAACCGTTCGAGTGGCTGTGTTACCCTAACTCATGGTAACTTCTTAACCGTTTGAGTACCTGTGTTACCCTAACTCATGGTAACCTCTAAACCGTTTGTTTGGCTGTGTTACCATAACTCATGGTAACCTCTAAACCGTTTGATTGGCTGTGTCACCCTAACTCATGGTAACCTTTAAACCGTTTGATTGGGTGTGTTACCCTAACTCATGGTAACCTCTAAACCGTTTGATTGGCTGTGTCACCCTAACTCATGGTAACCTTTAAACCGTTTGATTGGGTGTGTTACCCTAACTCATGTAACCTCTAAACCGTTTGTTTGGCTGTGTTACCTTATCTCATGGTAACCTCTAAACCGTTTGTTTGGCTGTGTTACCATAACTCATGGTAACCTCTAAACCGTTTGATTGGCTGTGTCACCCTAACTCATGGTAACCTTTAAACCGTTTGATTGGGTGTGTTACCCTAACTCATGTAACCTCTAAACCGTTTGTTTGGCTGTGTTACCCTAACTCATGGTAACCTCTAAACCGATTGTTTGGCTGTGTTACCCTAAATCATGGTAACCTCTAAACCGTTTGTTTGGCTGTGTTACCTTAACTCATGTAACCTCTAAACCGTTTTAGTGACTGTGTTACCCTAACTCATGTAACCTCTAAACCGTTTTAGTGACTGTGTTACCCTAACTCATGTAACCTCTAAACCGTTTGTTTGGCTGTGTTACCATAACTCATGGTAACCTCTAAACCGTTTGATTGGCTGTGTCACCCTAACTCATGGTAACCTTTAAACCGTTTGATTGGGTGTGTTACCCTAACTCATGGTAACCTCTAAACAGTTTGATTGGCTGTGTTACCCTAACTCATGGTAACCTTTCAACCGTTTGATTGGCTGTGTTACCCTAACTCATGGTAACCTTTTAACCGTTTGATTGGCTGTGTTACCCTAACTCATGGTAACCTTTTAACCGTTTGATTGACTGTGTTACCCTAACTCATGGTAACCTTTTAACCGTTTGATTGACTGTGTTACCCTAACTCATGGTAACCTCTTAACCGTTTGATTGACTGTGTTACCCTAACTCATGGTAACCTTTTAACCGTTTGATTGGCTGTGTTACCTTAACTCATGGTAACCTCTTAACCGTTTGATTGGCTGTGTTTCCCTAGCTCATGGTAACCTCTAAACCGTTTGATTGGCTGTGTTACCTTAACTCATGGTATGTCATTAGAAAGCTAAAAATACTGACTTAAGTATATATTGATGTTGCTTATCATAATTCCGAATATTTTCATTAATAAAAATATTGCTATGTTTTTATTCACGAATCGGCTTATTTATATTTATTTTTTATGTTTCCGGTTTGTTTACATTGTTGTTCAAAACACCTTTGTCTCAGTTTTTATATTATCTGGCTTTCATTAGCAAATGCGGTTTTTATGTAGGTGGTTAATTCAAGAAAGGGCTATGAAAACTTGAGATAACGTTTTTTTTACTATAAATTGTCCAACAAATTTGCCAAATATGAACATCTCTGGGCAAAATATCTATGAAATGAAGCATTTCGGTTTTTAAAAGTTTTAAAAGGGAATTAATTTTATATGAAATGACCGACAGACAAGCAATGAATCCTTTAAAGAAATCTGATTATTTAAATATTTAACACACACGCACATAGAGCTAATGGGTTAACCTTCTTCACCACTATTCCACAATAGACTTCAACTTTCTCCTTCTAACCTTTCCTGTGGAGTGAAGTTGGATAGTATATGTTATATTTAAGCCAGTGCAGAGAGTATTGTTGTTAACTGCTATTGCGCTACTACATATTTTTGATAGAAAATAAAATAATTATTTCGTTTATTTACACAACTTTTTATATATATTTTTTTTTTGATTTTTTGTTTTGTTTTGTAATTCTTATATTCTACAACTTATGTAGGAAGGATATATCTTTGATATAACCTAGAAAAAAAATGTCGGATTTTTCAAATATTTAAAGCCCAATACCAATTTTAGCATTGTTAATGTTTCACCCATTGGCCTTACCCGATTTTACTACCTTAGGGTTGTGGTATACCTTTCAAAAGAATATCACCTGGTCAAAATAGTGCATCTCACTGACACTTATTGAACTGGAGAAGAAGATTGTTAAGTTCCTATAATAATCTACGCTTAGCCTGTTGTTTTTTTTGGAAGTCCATTTATAATCACTTAAACCGGATATGAGCTAATTTAACAAATGAGTAATCCAGGCTTAAGTTTCTGTCACTTGCAGGATAAACGTCACACACACACACACACACACACACACAGGTGCTTGCAGCTTTAAAAGTTTGTAATATATACAAAATGCCAAAAATGAATTACGCTGCATCATCACATTTCATTCCCATATGTCAAAATACTATCAACCACTCACAACATAAACATTGTTGTCAACGGTAGTTCAGTTACCAGTAACAGGAGTTAATGCGAAATAATGCAACATTTGGTTTAGTTTGTTTGTGTTTTACATCCTATTAACAGCTATGGTCATTAAAGGACGTGCAAAGTTTTGGTGGTGGAAGAAAGCCGGAGTACCAGGGGAAAACCCACCGACCTACGGCCAATCGGTAAACGATAGGTAAACCGCAGAGATATTGACTCTGGGTGTATAATAAGTAATTAATACAGTTTATCACATAGCTGCATTTACTACATCTTACCAGGGAATGATCAAAAATAAAATAAAAACTTTAAGATATACGAAATGTTATATCTTCATATGTCAGGATATAAGGTGCAGGATCGATTTAATATTGACCAGTCAAAATGGTATTTTTTATTTACTGCTGAAAATTTTCTATTAAGCTTCAAATGAAGCAACTGTCGATTAAGTGGTTGTTTATGTTTACCTTTGATACATTCACAAATTTATTAGCAAACTTCCACAATTGATAACACTTTGGTAAGCAAAACCTACCAGAAAATAGCAGTAATAATCTTATCTCAATTGTGACTACCAATAGACCTTTTTTGTCAACCATTCTTTTAATTAAAAAAAGACAGAATATACATATGCAAAAGCCCAACAGAGTACCAGAAGTGTCATCACACCAAATAATTCCTGATTAATTCAAGAGACTAAATCACAAACACGATATCGCTGTGTTAATTAAATGTAAATAATGACGTTACTAATGTACATTTATGGCACAACCATTAAACAGCTAGACGGAAACAATGGCGCTTGTTATGTGTGTCGGCATCTATACACACATACATACACATATGACAGACGTGAAAGGAAAGAAAAAGTCTGACAGTGAATGTATTAGCAAGACGCCTTCCGTTCCGCGCGTCAGAAGGCTGGTTAACGGTACGGAGCGTGCCCACATTGTTCTGCTGCCCTACTGCTCAGTTTGAATAGACACGATGAAGGATTTATTTTTTATCATTCTCGTGGTTTTTTCATCATGGACATTTATCTCAGGTATGTTAAATTAATTACCTTTTTTTATGTATTTTTTATTGTATCTGTGACAATTGTTTTTATATTTCTGAATATTATCCTATCTCTATAAGGTCATTTCTAGCAATCTTATGACTTTACAGAAAAAATGCTTGACACCAAGATAAACTTATTGATTGACTGATTTTTAATGCACTAATAGCAAAGGTCGTTAAACTCTTTTAAATTTTCACGAAATGAAATTCTTGTAATTCATTTATTCATATCTAGCATAACAAGTAGTGAATAACCTAACCATTTTGATTTCGACTGGTACAGTTATAACTATAGACAGGCATAGCAATGTTTGTTATTTCTTTATTAGGTAAATGGTATATAATGGTTACTGTGTAAAACACATACTATAGAATGTGTACGCATATCAAATTGTATTTAATTACTACATGTCTGGGCCGAGTGGTTAAGACATCTGATCGTCTAAAAACACTAGCCCTACACCACTTGGTCGATGGATCGAGGCCTACGTGGGGCAATCACCAGTGACTCGATGTAGGTCGGTGGTTTTTCTCCGGGTACTCCGGTTTTCCTCCTCCACTAAAACCTGACTCGTCCCCTTATGACAAGAGCTGTTAATAGTGTGTAAAACACGATCACACCACCCAAAAATAAATGTCTATACAATTAACATGTATCGAGTTATTCCAATTAACGCATATACATTTGTATTTACTAAGAACATATCCCAAGTGTTTAATAACTTCAACTTAAATACTAGCATCTGCTTAATTTAGTCGGGACATATGTTATATGTTGGTGTATTTCTTTTCCAAAAAGAGACTGCTCGACTGTTTAATTAGTACGTATGTTATGTTTTGCCGTATTTCGTTCCCGTAAAAATAATAGTATCTGTTTGTATATTTTGTCAGTACATATGTTAGGTGTTGGCGTGTTTCTTTCCCTTAATAATAGTAGTGTCTGCTTGTCTATTTAGTCAGTATATATGTTATGTGTTGGCGTATTTTGTTTTACATAATGTTAACTTGTACATGTAGTATGTAAAAATCTTATGTGTAAGCGCATTACACTTTAACAAAATGGTATTTGCATCTACGTGTCGGCTTATTACACTTTATATCGTATTCCCTGTTTGTGTTATTTGGTGCACAACAGAGGGTAATCTCTAAACTTTACGAAAAATGTGTGTCCATAAAAGTTCGCAACAATTGTTTTGTTCATAGGCGCAATGGTAACACAGTCGGGGAGGAGGAATTTCCAGACGAGTACTCGGAAGAATGATTCCAAGGTTCGAAGTGCACGACTACCAGCGGTGTCGTTTTCAGCTGGACCAGCAAAGAGCAAGTGTGAGTCACAGAAATGTAATCCTGGCTACAAGAAGAAGGTAACAGCTAATCCGACGGGAGGTTGTCCTATCGTCAATTGTATAAGAAAGCAACAAGCTTACTGTCCTCCTGTAAATTGTCAAAGCAATCAAAAGAAAAGCTACAGTGGTAAAAAACTGCCAAATGGCTGCCAGGAGATAAAATGTGTAAACAACCGCCAACCTCAGCGAGCACAGAGGCGGAGGAAAGGGGGTTGTCCATCGGTGCGTATGTGCACGCCTCGAGAGGAAGGTTACTGCGAGATACCGCGCATCATTTACGTCAACCGCCAGAAGTGTTACCTCTGTCCCGATGTTGTGAAATGCAACAAACGCAAATGTCCGGATATAAGTCTTTGTCCTTCAGCGAATTTCCAGCTGGACGAATGTCTCATTCCTAGAAAGGATAAAGGAGGATGCAAGCAATGCCCTGAGATAACTAAAAATTGTGATCAAATTGGTGGAGTAAGGAAACAACTCGTCTAAATCACGAAACGTTCAACACTTTTAATGATGAGATGATAAGCATCGACATTATACAAGCAGAAATAACACAACGACGAACCTAATAGTCACATACAAAAATATAAGGCTTTAATCCGAACCGATAACAGTGTATCTCTTAGTGAATGAGATTTGCGTACTGGAACACCAAATAGGGCATTGCAAAGTCTAGAGGGATTACGACAATAAATTGACTATGGTTGTCACCATCAAGAATGAAAATAACAGGAAAGATTTTGTGTTCACGACGTGATGTGATTTTTTTTTTTCTCTTTTTAGTTATTTCAGGAGTTGACCTTCCATCAATTGATAGGTGAAAAGGTTTGAGAGGCTAAAATGAACGAAGACTTGAGTAATATGTACGTTTTCAAGGCGACGAAATCACCACAGCATAGCGTACGAAATCTCAGGAATATGCACATTTTCTAATGAAGGAACACTGATACGTTACAAACATTGCCTCGACGATCGTATACACGCTGCCAAGGCGCTCGTAATGTTTCTGTACGTTATAAACTCTGCCTAGACGCTCGTACCTTGATGTACGCTACACACACTGCCTAGACGATCGTACATTGAAATACATAACAGACACTGTCTGGGAGCTCGTTATGTTGATCTACGTAATAAACACAGCGTAGGTGCTCGTACATAGATGTACGTTACAAGCACATATTAAACAATGAGAATGTATTTTTAAAAACTGCATGACATTGAAGATAATGATGGTATCGCTCAATTTAGACATTTTTCATAATTGTGGCCGTACATGTTCGAGAAGCAATGTATATTTTAAAAATCTGTTTTTTCTTTTCGTTTTATTTAAAATTGAATAAACTGAAGTCCAAACACGATACCAAAGGTTTTTTTAATATTGGTTATATGTTGGATGGATAACATTGGCGCTTAAGAATTAATGTTATTTATTTATGTGAAATTAAAGCAAAACTTTCTATCTTTTTCAGCACGTAAATTAAAAGATATTTTTTCCCTGATATTAAATAAAAGTTCTATTTATCCAAAGAAGATCATCTGGTTACAATATATGAAATATTATTATATCACTGTCGTGTTGTGTGCCGTTTTAGGTACATGACCGGAATATATACAGGTGTTGAAGGTGTATTGGCCCTTCTATAGGGACAAGAACAAGCCAAATGTTCAAGTAACAATATCTTATCTTTCTGCATTATTCTCCAGTGTTTGACACATTCGTAGGTTGGTTACATAAAATTTAATAACATGATACTCATGTTTATATATATCAATTAATACTTCAATCAAAAAGGTAGATATACCTATCACTTGTATTATTTTGTATTTACATCTTTCATGAATTTTAAATGACGATATAAACAGTGAATAAATACATGAAACATCAATAATTGTTTGATCTTTTCGGTTTAACCGTGCCACTAACCTGCGCTCTTATTTCTTATCAACATAAAAAATCTAGCATTACTTATTTTTCATATCTAGCAAAAGTGATTAAACTTCCGTTAATACCACGCTCAGGAAGTTAAACGTATCAAAGACATTAAATAAAAAGGACGATAAATATATTTTCCTACGTGCCGTACAGAAATTGGATTTTTTCCATAATGTTAAGCATGCGCAAACCCGTACGATGTAATGGGGATGTCGTGATCGACCAAGCAAGCAAACATAATCGACAGGAACGGTAAAAGCTGGAGGCGAAAGTGTACATCAATGAAGATATATATGTGTTCTGCTCTCGTGATACCTCGTGAATTCTCGTATGCATAATAATAACGTAAACATTGCCTCAACTATGCTTCTTGTGAAATATGGAGCAGTCGGGAAAAGGCTTATACAAAATTAGTCATTGAAATTTTAAATCTTTTCAAACCAATATAATAATAGTATTTTGGGAATTTCATGACTCCAATTTTAACCACAGTTTTTATGACAGATTGAAGCACGGTAACTCTTTAACATTTAGATACTGACAGCCAATAGGGATTTGACAAACATGATACACCGTATACTATCTAATGATAAAGCTATCCTGATTGTTTTTAAATGCTGACAGAACAATGAATTGGCAAATATAGTACAATTAATGATGCATTTTATACACAACAAAACAGGAATAAACAATCAAAACTTAATTAAATCTAAAGTAATATGTGCAGGTTAAAATGAAATTACCTTTTACTTGCTCTGTTAATAAATCTAACTACACTTTAGTTTATTACAATTATTTCTTTTTACAAAAGAAATTAATTAAAACAAAACAAACCCACTTAAGATTAAAACAAAGAGAATGGCGAACCCAGGGTTTGAGCTATCTCAAGATGGTTACTTAGATGAAGTTGTGGGGCGATCCCCGGGGCTTGAGCGATCCAAAGTTGTGGAGTGGGTAGCTAGTAGCAGGCGGCCCTGTGAATAGGTCTGATGCTGAAACTGAACTGAACTGACTGAAGACGTTGTCACTCGGGGTAATCCCTTTAAGCTTGAATAACCATTCGGCAATCAGGTTATGTTACTAGGGATATATACTGCAATCAAATATAGCAGCAGAGATCAGCTGGTAAATGTTGTGTATAAACAATTATTTAGGTAAACCAAAATGCACATTTATTATAATTAATAATTTTTAAATAGTGACAGTAAACGGCGAATTGATACACTTGATGATATAAGTTATTTACTATTTTTGACCTTTGTTTAAAAAAAAAAAAAGTTTTATTATTCTGACCTTTATTTATAATTAGAAAACTGAAAAAGAGATTTTCTGGTTACTTCTTATCGAAATCACATATAATGTAAATTTCTAGAATCGTGCAAGGCAAACAAGGGAATAGGATTTAATCAAACAACCATTTGTGAGACAATCTTCTCAGATGTAATCACAGCAAACGGCAGACCAAATGTATGGCCTTTGATCTCTCGGTTATAGAAATATGGAAGATGATTTAACAGGAAAATTGACAACGGAGTACGGCAGATGCCGCGTCATACCATATGAGCTAAAAATAATACCCAAATATTGCAACCTATTAATGTCTATTTCAACTGAACTCGGACTCAACGCTTACAAACCTGCTTATCAGTTACGTCATCTAGCCCCAATGTGATATTACATGGAAATATCCCAAAATAATGTATTTATCACCGCGTTTAATGACGTCACAACTGTGTGACACCATGCTGATATTAATACGCTACTTTGTTTCAAGCGGAGAATTTGAATCGCAAAAGAAATCATATCAGTTCTATTTCTCATATTTTCAAATTTTATTTTTTCACTGCAGCTCGTTAATTTGTTTTATATTTTATTTTTATTTTTTAAATAAAGTCATTCCATCATTATCTCAATTGTCAAATAGACGTCCGTGAAAAATACGTTCTTAAACATTTTGATTAAATAGTGTTTGTGTAGCTATCATACCAATATTGGTGCCAAGATGGCTTGCATAGTGTACGACTGCAAGGGGATTGCGTTAACCCTGTGCAAATGTTTGTCGTACACAAGCTGCAAAGTATAACATTATTGATTTTCTTTTTAGTGTCAAATATAATGTTCTTAAATAATCGTCTTCTCTATATGATTTATATAACATATTACTGTCGGAAAACCAAATGTAAAACATCCTTTATATATCTACAGGTGTATGTATATCAAATATAAAATTGATCCAAAGGTTATGCTTGAATGAACACCAGGGCCCAGTTGTTCAAAAGATGATTAGCTTAATCACTGTTTAACGACATTTTCAACCTTTGATAATTTCGATAAAAACTTGTAATTTTACACGTACATTTACTCTACTTAATACTTGATATCTGGGTAGTTTGAACTCGGTTGATTATTGCATCTCAAAGATACAAAAAAATCGAAATTTGCGCTAATCACTGGTTAAGCTAATCACCCTTTGAACAACTGGGCCCAGCTGGTTCCTCTATAATCATATAACTACCAAAAAACGAGAAATCACTCATTAAAAAGCCTTTATGAATTAAACGGATCCTCCGTACATGTACAATGAAACTCGATATTGTGCCACCATTTGGCGATAAATCGAGGGCAACATATAAAGGAATCCTTAAAACGAACAGAAAATAGACCTTGAACTATTTTAATGGTAAGCGAGCTGGAAAATGGAACGAAATGCATTAGATCGGGGTTATACTGCATGTTTTATTGTTATAACGAAACAAAAGTCATTGTATCGAGGTTATACTACATATCATATTACTACCGAACATCTGAAGGTCCCTCTTATGTCATAGATGCACCATACATCAGGTAAATTCTTATTATACAAGGTAGGTGTATAACATGAATCCAGTTTATATACATGTACTTTATCAGTTTAACATTTACTCCACTTGTATTACCATGAAATCTTATTAAGATGCCCGAGTTAAAAAAAGACACAAGTGTAACGTTGATAATGGACCCCCGTGAAAAATGGAACCGGGGTCAGTTTTCAACGTTGAAAATTGAACCGGTAAAACCGTGGAAAAAGGAACCTAACTAAATTTTATTTCAACATACTTTGAAAATGGACCTAGTTAAAAAGTGACCAATATAAGCCATTGATATTGATTAAAAATATCGAATTAGATTTTACTTAATGAAGTCATGTGATCTATTTCGAAAACAATTGCCTTCACTAAGAAAATTTTATTCAGTTCAGAATTAACCCAGTATGAGTATTTGACCTTATTAGGTCAGAGACCTAATTTTGGAAATTTGACCTACATTATAAACAATTGTCATATAGTTAAAAAATTAACATCAAATTGTTGTTTGGCCAAATTGGATGACTATGACTTAGTTTTCAAGATTTGACCTACATTATCAAAAGTCGTCACATGACTCAGAAAATTAACAGTTGTAAGACAAGATAGGTCACTGTGACCTAATTTTCAAAATTTGAATGATCACAGGTGTAAGAAATTAACATTTCTGCACCCAACGATAATTTTTAATAATGTAGGTCAATTTTTCGGAAGAATGTCACAGTGACCTAATCAGGTAAAACAAAATTATGAGTCCATTTCTGAACCCCATGATAATTTCTTTTATATAATGTCAAACATTGAGAGGTCAAAGTGACATGATTTGGTCGGTCGATGGATGTCAAGGTAAGAAATGATATGACTAAGTTCAAGGTGAGCTAATAATAATAGGAATCTAATACGGGTCCGTTTTCCAAGGTAAATGTTAACGATCTACATGTGAAAACATTACCACTTACGGGGTCCATTTTCAACGGGGAGTCAGTTTTCCATATCATACAAGTTTAATTTTCAATGGGGGTCCATTTTCAACGTTACACCGGCCTCGAAAGTAAGCCAAGGATTCCTTGCAGTTAAACAAATTTCGATAATAAGCCGTCTTAGAAAATAGTCCGAAAAAATTAAATAAGCTGCGCCTTATTATCGAGATTTTGGGGTATGCAAACAGTTGTATATGTTATGTACAATATACAAACAGTTTGGTATGTTATATACAATATACAAACAGTCTGGTATGGTGTATATAATATTCAAACAGTTTGGTATGTTATATATAATATTCAAACAGTTTGGTATGTTATAAATAATATACAAACAGTTTGGTATGTTATATACAATATACAAACAGTTTGGTATGTTATATATAATATACAAACAGTTTGGTATGTAACATATAATATACAAACAGTTTGGTATGTTATATACAATATACAAACAGTTTGGTACGTTTTATACAACATACAAACAGTTTGGTATGCTATATACAATAACCAACAGTTTGTTATGTTACATACAATATACAAATCGTTTGTTATGCTATGTATAATGTTCTGTATTCTATCCACTCATTTGGTTTCTTAAACATATTTAAGAAGCCGCAAACAAATATTTTTGAATCACGGTTATATCAATCTGAGAAAAATGACGTTCAACATGATTAAGTCGTTCAAAATATCTAAAACAGACATCCAAATTAAATATTATTAACTGCAGAACCGAGTTCAGAATTCTGATATAAACAAAAAGCTGGGAGTTCCCTTCTACAGAACTTAAGCAAATTCGCTTGCCGAAATACATCTCTTCAAAACGAATCATAATGTATACCGCGAAATGTTCGCCTAATCATACTTTCGCCCATAGCCCATGGATTCAATTTTTGCCCTGTGTTTATTTCGCCCTTATTTGACTACTATGTTTTTATGCTGTTTACTTATTTTCACCGTAATGATAAATACGCCCTCTTTAATGAGGGCGAAAAAGGCGAAAATTAAACTGCAGCGAAAATGTCCCGGCATACAGCATTTCTGGTCAATTTCGTAAGTTATAACGTACTTTGTTAGCCATACTTAGGCCTACTACCACTACTTTTGAGATAGGAAGACTCGAGCATCACAATTTGCTCCTAGCACATTAACCTTCGCTTAACTACTTATGTCCGAGCACATTCGTCCAAGGACTACGTTTTTCGTTATAGGTGCGTTCAATAAAATATGCTCTTTGACCGCGATTGCACCACACTGAGACATTGAACTAAAATTGTCCAAGGAACAGATTATTTGTATGCGGTAAACAAAACATATAACAAGGAGAAAGTTCAAACAATTCCGACAGGGCGCATCCAACAGCATGTATTATACCACCAGAGTGACTACCACGTGAGCGCTTAGCGGGGTTACTGATACAGGTCCGATAAAGCCTTATACATACAGCAGGAGAGAACGATACCTAGGAGCTGAAATTAGAACAAGTAATATTTAGTCGATTTAATGGTTTAAAGCGATAATAAGTATTAAATCCAAATAGGTATAAACTGTCACATGACTGAATCACAAGATTAGTCTGAAGCCCCCTACTGATCTCAATAAGGGCTGAAGAAAGCAACCAGGAGGGCGCCGAAAGTTGCTCATGAGTATTCAGTTGAAAGATTCTGTTAAACGTTGGTTTAATAAAGGTGTTAACTGCTGTTGAAACAGAAGGGGAGGAGCATGAAAACCTTTAATAAAATAATTTTAAAATTTCAGAAGACTGATATTTATACTGTTAAAACATTTAAACTAAAACGTAACAATCACCATATTGTTTACTACTTAAAGTTGAAATGAAATGAAATTCAAACTGTTGGCAATCAAAATTAAAAACTGAACCTCAATAATCAGCCTACTATTAACCATCAAAAAATAAAGCAGCATTTATATAAATCAATAGATGAATCTCCATATTCATCATGCATTTAACTATTTTTAGTTGAAATACAGCAATATGTTAACGGTAGTAGGTAATCATTCCTTACTAAGCTGACATATCCAATTAAGCTCCACAATAAGAAACATCTACATCTTTTTATAGATGATACTTTTAATTTGTTTGATTTATTACTGACACAAAGGTGCAAATGGTTGAAAAGCGATCACAAGTATTCAATAATTAGATTATGCAAATTTCACAACAAATATATGATGTGTAAGTTAGTTGATAACCTTTATATCGACACAATCCAATTATCAAACGATAAACTAATAAAAAGGACTGTTAAGGTTGTATTTGAATTTTTAATATTATTGTATTCCCCCGAGCCAAAACTTATATATAATATACTTATAAGTATATACATATACATATATAAATAACTGTGAACCTTGAACTGTCAGGGTTAAATATTTATTGATCGTGTATCATTGTAACGGTATACAAACAAGGGTCCAAGTGTAATATTTTGCATGACTCAATGCAATCATTTTTCTGTTAAGATTATAGACAAAAAATGAAAAGGTCTTTTGTTCAATTTATAACGATAGTGTCCATTGAAAACGTTTTGAAAATTACCTGAAATGAGGAAAATACGAACGCACCCCATCCAAATATCAACAGCTTACTTTTGAGCCAATCTTTTAACACAACATTGCATCCCTAGAAACAAAACAAAAACGGTAATATATATCATTGCCATCATTACAAAACATTATGCATATTCGAAAAGACCTATGATATTGAATCAGTTCAATAAATGGTCGAGCATATATATGCATCAACTCTTTGAATGAACTATGCATGCTTTTGTAAGTTGTCGTTTCTCGGATGCTTAACAAAACAAATTAACCTCTTTGAACAACATTGCTTATAGCTTATCTATGATATCTCCTTGAGTGTGTCAATTCGAGGACTTACTTTAGTATATACCCTGCTTAGATCTGGTGGTATGCCCTTTGGTACGTTACATGACACGTCCGCTGGATCATGGCAACATGAAGTCGGCAGCACTTCACGCCCTCTACCGTCCGATAAGGTGACATCGCGGTAATACAGAGTTGACCGCCAGTCCATATAATCACGATACCCACAGCAATACAACTACAACCGACAAATTTAAACCAGCAGTGACATCCACAGCAAAACGATAAAAAGCACAACCTTAAACGTTTGAAAGCGTTTAAGTTAAGTTTATATACAGAATAAATCATTTAAAGTAGTCTGAAACAATATCTTACACTGAATCACATTTTTGGGGTTAATACTGCAATCGAGGGATATGATACGAAACATAACTGCTCGAAGCTTGATCAATATTTGAAGACCACTCAAAAAGTTTACAACTTCGGAAAACTGCAAACACCAAACAAAATGTTGAAATACTTAAACTAAACAGAAAGGCATTGAAAATTACCAAAATATGCACTCTGATAAGAAACGAATACAGGATTCTCGGATGTCTTATTTTTATGCAAATTAGCTTTGTTAGGGTGTTTTATTTCAGGTGTAATACTTGAAATAGTATAGTTAAACAGAGGGATTATGCATATACTATTATGTTTGTGTATTAAGTAAAACTTTGATACAAATATAATACTTCTTATCCAAAACAGAAATTTGGTTAGAAGATCGTAAGGTTTTTTTGTCATAAAATAAAGTATAAATGTATTTCCCTTTTATTTTCCATATTAAGAACAACAAGACGAACCTGGATAAAACCTCCACTTAGTATTAACTCATTAAGTATTTTTTGTTTAATTTCAAGTATTTGTGACTTAATTAATGCATTCATGTATTTATATATGCAAATGCATTTATTCCAAGACATTTCTATATATCAATAGATTCATTATTCTATTGTTCATTCATTTCACGGATAAGTCATTCATTCAACTTTTTGCTAATTCATGATTTCCACATCCTCCCAATTGATTGATCTTACATGTTATAGATAATGGTTATATGGGCGTTATAAGCTTAGTCAAGTGTTACACTGTCAAACATTATATATAACATCACAAATAAGATACTCTTACTCAGTATGAATACATGTATGTATCATGTCGTTCCATTAGGTGAAGTTAGTTTTTAGAATGACTATCCTTGACATGTAAATAGATAATGTACGTTTTTTTTGAAACAGTGCAAATACAGAAATAATCAGGATATGTCCCTTTCAATACGATTTGCCAGTATACATAACAGTATACATAACAGTATACATAACAGTATACATAACAGTATACATAACAGTATACATAACAGTATACATAACAGTATACATAACAGTATACATAACAGTATACATAACAGTATACATAACAGTATACATAACAGTATACATAACAGTATACATAACAGTATACATAACAGTATACATAACAGTATACATAACAGTATACATAACAGTATACATAACAGGAAATGTTTTGAATAACCTACACCAACTCACATTTACCCCAAATAGATAGTCCTAAAACTACTGAAGTTTGTGCTGAATGTATGCAAACATTTATGACTATGATAATGGTGATTAGGGCCTTCATAATGTAATCAGAAGGTTAAAGTTGAACACTTGTTGGCACCCGCAGTTTTGGAAGAGTTGTCCGGACAAGGATTTTTCAACCAAGGGCCATAACTTTGTAAACCAAAGAGTCAGAATGAAAAAGAATACCTGAATGCGGATGATAGTTTTCATATCTGGAATCTTTCGTTGAAATCGATTGATTGCATTAGAAGGAGTTGTCCGGACAAAAAGGTTTCAGTTTTCAGGTTTTATTTCCCCCCCCCCCCCCCCCCCCCTTGGGGATGGGGGTTGGTGGGGGTAAAATAACTTCATTAAATGTCGAAAAAGCCATTATACCTCTCGCTGAATTCTGTCTATAGCAGCAGTCGTGTCATCTTTATAGTGATATAGATGGTAAATACTATAGTTCAGGTCATTTGAAACATCTATATCAACCTGCAATCAAAGAAATTAGGATAAATGTGTGTCATGATTCATAATACAATAAAATAAACAAAATACAAACAAATATACACCGAATGGTTTTGTCATAAGTCACCTAAAGAAACATAAAACCATAAGGAAATAGCATAAGCTATGCTTTAAATGTTACAAAAAAAAACAAAAAAAAAACACAACCACATGTGAAACATAACAGTAGTAGCATAATGAATAATCGTCAATTAATGAGATACGAAATATAATGTACTAATATGACATGAGACACACAATAAAACGAAGGTACTTCATAGTAACTAAACAATCACTTTGCTAATTCTTATTATTTGAAATTGGGGGAAGAGCGACATCTGACTTAAAAGCCGGTCAATTTTGCCGTTATGCTGCCGTGTAATTCTTTTGAAGTACATTTAAGGATCATGTACTTGTATCATCCACATGGAGGTGCTTGCACAGCCTTTAATTAAGTCATGACATTACTATGGATGACAAAGGATGTGTGTAACCAGATGCGTGACTTTTGGATGTCGAAGATGTGCATAGGTATAACATGAGATATTAAAATGTAGCAAAATATCCATCACAATAAATGACATAATACACATAATGTAAACATATAATGAAATTACACGAGACATAATAATACAAATTACATAAGACACAGAAGCAAGATGAGTATACGGGCTATATTATAGAGAGTTCAAAATAAACATACATATGATCAACTCATAAAGACCAATCTGTCCGGGCCTGTCATTGTATATCACACAGGATATCGCAATTCAACCTGTCTTGGTTTCATTGTTATATGACAGACAAATTAAAATAATACATATTCATAAAAATTGAAATATAAAATAAATTACCAATTTGAATGAAAGGGCATTATTCAACTTACGAAATTTATTATAATAATGATGTATGAGCATCATGTTTAAAATTCGAAAACAGCTCATGGGAATAATGTTATATTGATGAGGTTTTTGTTTTTGAATAATAATCAAAGTAGAGAAACGCATTATTTCGTAACAGACACATCAAACTAATGATGTGAATAATGTGTTGATGAAGGACAGTGTTGCATTGTTTTCCAATGATGGACCTTACCTGGAGCATTATGGCTTAATATGTGATAGAAGTCATATAAAGAAAACACTATAAGTTTGTGTTACCAGGGCCCAGTTGTTCAAAAGGCGATTAGCTTCATCATTGATTAGCTCAAATTTTCATTTTCGTGTATCTTTAAAATAAAACCATCAAACTACTTACAACTTTCCAGAAATAAAATATAAGTAGAGTGAAATTATATACAAAATTGTGAGATTTTACCTTGTTTATTGACGAAATTATAATAGGTTGAAATATGTCGTTAAACAATGATTAAGCTAACAACCTTTTCAACAACTGGGCCCAGCTGGACGATGATTGGGTCATTATTATCCACATCAAAAAAATCAATGAATAGATTTGTTTAGTATCTTCTGAAACAATCGATAACATCGATGTATTTCAAAATCAAGGACTAATTAAAACCAAGATTTTATGTAAGAAAGGAAAATATATAAAAACATATATGAAGGCAATAAGTTAACCATTAGGGAAAGGGTTATTATTTTAAAGATAATATTACTTCATTTCTGATTATCAAAACATGGTTTTACATCTAGCAATATATATATATAATATATATATATTAACAAATATTATGAAAAAGAAACACACCAGGTGATGACGTAAGATAGCGAAGCGATTAAAGTTTGTTTCAAATACTACAGTTCTTGCAAAAATCGAAATTATTCATTGAATGGAAAAGATATTTTTCACAAATTAGGAAGCTTTCAAAACCGTTATCTTTAACGTCAATAGTGTTATTTAAAGCACGAGTATACACTATTAACAAGTCAGGAGACGGATACACTGGCCAAGCCCTGTTACATCCGGACATTAGGATAATAGCCTGATAAATCCGGTGACGATAATGGAACTGGTTCACGCCTTATCAAAACTACCAGTAGATAGAACGATCTCGTATTAGAGTAGAGCAATGGAGACCATGAGAATAAGCTACATTTCGTTTCAAAATTATTTTATTGTTGCAATTAATAGGATTGGGCTATAAAAGCCCTTTCCATATAGAAAGACAAACATTTCAAACATATACTGCATGTAAATTGAAGACGTAATATATTAAGTTTAGGTAGATACAATGAAGGGTAGGCCGAACCAATAAGCCAGTTTTATATATATATATATATAAACATAGAGATTAGCAGTCTCATTGGAATATCAGAGATTTTAACAGGATAGATCTAGTGTTTGATTAGGGCACTTCAAAGTCACCGTCAGTACATACAGTGCCATATTAACCAGTTACACTAGAATTGCATGCAATCAATGATACATAGTATAATATATGGTACAATATTTACATTTGCCCCCGCGCCGTCCCATTACAACAGTGTTAGAGGGCAAGTGTAATTATATAGGCTATAATTACAACTGCTCGACTATAATTACAACTGCCTGTTTCAGGTGTAGGAATATGTAAACAAACAAAATGGCCGCCTGAAATGTATTTTGAGGCAGGGCAAATGGTTTTTGTAGGAATATGTCTTAAAAAAGAAAAA